ATCACATCAATCGATCGCTCACGGATCTGAACGTGTTTCCTCACGCTCGAGGATGGAGCTCAGACCAACTCAAACACGATGCGAAGCGTGAGGCATTCTTTCGACGGTCAATACGGGCTAAAGAGACTACTGCGGTAGGAGTTCGCAAAAACGCGCTGACCAAGGAGCGCAAGGAACACCAACAGAAGAAGGCATGGTCGAAGAACGATGAACAAGAATACGAACGGGCTCTTCAGGAGATGAAGCAGGAAAACAAGTCTCTGCTGGCGGAGAAGAAGTTGATGATCCGCCGGACCCACAAGTATCGCCTGTTCCCAACGAGATCCCAGCAGAAAACACTCAAGCAGTATATGGGGACGTGTCGGTGGACCTACAACCAAGCGGTAGCGCACCATCGGAAAACGAACGAGTTCAACGCGAACCGTCTTCGTGATCTGTACGTGACGAAGACGTCCAGGAAGACGCCCAAGTATCCAGAAGGCATGGGTCCGCCGCCGGAATAGGTGTATGACACGCCGAAGAACCTGCGGTTCAACACGTTGCGGACGTTCCAAACAAACGTGAAGAGCGGGCTCAGCAATGTGAAGAATGGGAACATCAAGAAGTTCAAGATTGACTTCTCGAGCAAGAAGAAGTCTCCCTCCTTCACAATCAGCCAAGATGGAGTGCAAGCTAAGATCCGAGAAGAGAAGTCGGTGTTCTACCTGTCGATCACGAACCTGAAGGATATTCGAGTGAAGATGAACGCGCACGTGGAGATCTCAAGTGTGATCGATATCCTGAACATCAACGAGTTTTGGTACGTTGCCATTCCAGAGTACGTGGAGCCGACGGCGTTCTGCAATCGTGGCAGGTGCATCGCGTTAGACCCCGGGACGAAGGCCTTCATGACCGGCATGGACCTCGAGGGTAATGTGCTAGAATTTGGACGAGGTACCAAGGCCTACTTGGACGCGATTCGGAAACGTCGGGATATCGCGCAGAGCGTGATGTCCAAGTTCAAGAACAAGAAGAAGAGCAAGCGATGGCAATACAGAGCGTATGTGAGAGCCAAGCGTACGTTCCTCGGCTGCACGGCCAAGCTCAAGAACTGTGTGAAGGAGCTTCATTACCAGACGTGCTCGTACCTGGTCAAGCACAACGACGTGATCCTACTCCCGATCTTCCAATCCAAGGACATGGTGGAAAAAAAGCAGCGCGCGCAATCACGGGTTCAACAAGAGCATACTGAGCCTGAACCACTTCCAGTTCCGCCAGCTCCTTCAAGCCAAGTGTTAGGTCGTGAGCAAGACTGTCGTCGTCTGCTCTGAGATGTACACGAGTCGGACGTGCACTCGTTGCGAACGCCTCCATCTGAAACTCGGAAGCAACGACGTGTTCACGTGTCCGCACTGCTCCTATACGGCCGGCCGGGACGAGCACGCGGCATTCAACATCCTCCGCTACGTCTGTGCGGGATCTCTGCAAACCTATGCATGAAGGCAAGGGTTTATACCGGGCTACAGCGGGCGTTTTCATACGCGAGCGATGTCATCCGCAAGGTTGTCATCGTGAAAAAGCTTACTCTTACCTACAGTTACGTAAGCTTGCATAGGCTTACTGTAGCGGAAGTTGCCTCCACGCCGATTTGGGCTTGGCACACGCTGCAAGCTGGATAAGTGGATGTTGGCACGCGGCCAACAATGGCATGATGTACAAGCTGGACGACGCAGAAAGTAGTCGTAGTTTAGCAGCTATCTTACATATTAGTTTCTCTCATTAATAAGCTTTCCTCTTTGGAAATAGCTAAGTTTCGCGACACCCACCGAATTGCACTAATACTGTCAATCCCTGGCTTCCTTGTATTCGCAAGACTTTCGGGGACGGGTTTCACTGGTTCCAAAGACCACCTTTAGCCGCCGTAAGCGTCAGTTGTCCGACAGAATCAGGCTTATCCAACGTGAAGGTTCCTTGTATGACTACCCAAGCTACCTAGGAGATACATGCCTCGACGGTACTGGAGGTAATAATTTCCCTAGA